GCTGAAGTATATCTTTTAAGAAATAATAATAATGGAAAGAAGTTGTAAACAGAAAGTATGTGTAAAAGTATGAATATATAAAAATATATGGTTAATACTATAAAATTACTATACTAATTTATATAAATTACTAACATTCAGATAAATATATAGTTGAGAAATACATTTATATAATTAGGAGAGAAAAAAAAGTTTAACAAAGGAACGCCCATCGAATTACTATATCAAATAAATGCCAACTAGAAAAATAATCAATACATCAGTGAAATGAGTTTATAATCATAATATTTAGTATAAATGTATATATTTATATAAACATAGTTATTCAAATACTGCATTTGATTTGTTTCAATAAAATGAAATATTTTTTTTAAACTTAAATTAAATATATTAACAAATTTATTATATATACAGTAGAACTCTAATATTCAACATGAATCCGTTCCTGAAGTGAGGACGATTATTGAAAATGACAAATATCAAACGATTTTTTCCCATAAGAATTAACTAATTAACTCACATACCGCTTGAGACTGAGCTGGTGAAACGTCAGTTGTGAGAGGTGGAACGAATATTGAATTTTCGGTCAAATTTGAAACAAATATTTCAACAACAAAAAAAACAGGATGAATATAAAAAAATAACGAATACTGGCGTGTACTAATATTCGAGTGCCGTTGTAAAAAAATAACAAATTTATTATATATACAGTGGAACTATAATATTCATCATAAATCCGTTCCTGAAATGAGGACGAATATTAAAAATAACGAATATCAAACAAAGTTTTCTCATAAGAATTAACACACACACACCCTTTGAGACTGAGCTGGCGAAACATCGGTTGTGAGAGGTGGAACTAATATTAAACGGACAAATATAAAACATAACTTTCAACAAGAAAAACAGGACAAATATAAAAAAAGATACATACTGGCGTGGACGAATATTGGAGTTCAGTTGTATTAAAAAAGCTAAACCGTTGTTATTAGAACAGTATTGATAGTACTAGAATGTATTTTCTGAAGTTAAAAAATATACTTACAAAAAAAGGTGAGAAAATAAAAATTTGTAAATATGTTGAAACCGGATCAATTAAGGACTCTATAACCGCACAAAAGATAAACAATTTAAAAGAAATTTTTTTTAATTTTATGTACTAATTTTCTAGAATTTATTTTTCTCAATTAAAATTTACTTTGTTTTGAAATTTTCAAACAGTACTATAGTGAATCCGTACTTAATGCGGCTTCAGCATTGTGCAAGGTATTGCTGTAGATTTGAAGATTTCTATAAATTTAAACTAAAATAATTAATAGAATATTTTCATTGCAATATTTTTTTCATCAAGTTTTAACGAATATAAATATTTTTTTTAATCTTAAATAAATGGAAACAAATATTCAAATTTATAAAAAAATTCATTGTTATTTTTTTGTATATTTTAAAGAGATGACGTAAATAGATAAATAGATGAGACATATTTATAGTAAATAGTAGTTTGATGTTGTGATCAATTGGAATTGGATGGAAGCCTTAAATCAGTTCAGTTTGTGATGTAAGACTGAACTAGAGGAGGGGTGCACTAATGACAATATATATCCCTTAGGATCGAAGGGTGACTATCCCTGACGCTGCTTTATTGTTTACGTAATGTGTTTTCACGTCCCCGGTTTGTTGATCCAAGGGAAACACACTGAATTGCAGCTTATCCAAACGCAACTAAATACAAATTACTAAGTATTTTATTTAATACATTTTCACGCTTTTAAATTACATACCAGTGTAAATTATAAAGTATTTTATTAAATACTATTGCACAGATTTTAATAATAATGATTTTATACTTTATTTTACATCAATATTTAAACAAATTGTAGTGGCAGAACTAACGCCTTTTCAGAACTAACGTCAAAACTTAATCAAAATATGACAGTTCCGTCTGAAAAAAGAATAGTAGCGTCAAAAACTAAAATTCGATTACATACAATTTTGAAGATCAAATGTATGTCATTTTTTTATAAAAAATACTTATTTGTATTTGAATAATTGAACAAATCTTATTTGTGGACCAATTAATATAAATTATTGTTTAAAATTATTATACAAAAAAGATAATTTGTATATGTCTTTAAATATTACTTTACTTTGAATAGTATATAAATATCTTTAGTTTATATTCAATGTTGAAACTTCTATATTAGGTGTAAGATAATAACTAAAGTAAAATAATGTCAGGAAAGTTTATATAAATCTGTAGAGTTGATTAATCAATAAGTGTATGATTTATATATAGATATAGTAAAGAATGTTAATCGACATTGTCTCCAATTTTACGTAATACAATGAAAGCGACATTCCGATCACTGTGCATCATTTCTTCTTCATCCATTCTGAAATTAAGTTTGAGACAATAAATCGCGTTTGGTGGTCGTGCTTAAATACAAATTGCAATGATATTAACCTTCCGAACGACGTACGTGATGGGATCCCAAGCAGAATCCTTTTTGATCTTCGCCGCTCATTCAAGTATAAAAGTACCATCTCAAAAACCGCTCCGACGCAAATACAAATACAATTTCTCATTCAAAAAATTTCAATCAAAAAACAAAAAAATACATCATAATTAGAAAAGAAAAATGTAATTACGTAAGTTAATTAAGAAAATTCTAATGAAACAATAAAATTGAATTGTAAAACAAATAAAATCTATAAAAAGTTTGTAATTGTAAAGTAAATTTTAATTAATTGATGAAATATAATTAAAAAGAAATAAAAATTAAGACAAAAAATAATTCTTGTTATTCATAAGTAAATTATAATTAAACAATAAAATTTAAATGAAAAACAAATAAAATTTTAGAAAAAAATTATATGAAGAAAATGCTTGTCATTTCTATGGTTAAAATTGAAAAGTAGTTTATAGCATATTGCTTGTAGAAGGTAGAAATTATCACTCGTAAAACTTCAGCAATAATTGCTGATCATAAAATGAACTGAACGTATTATAATAATAATTATAAACAACTCAATCAATGCACGAAACTGAAATGAAGTGCTCTGTGCGATGGAGAAAGAATGTTTTATGCTGTAGCATAAACATTTATGTTTTCGCTGATCTTTGTTATTAAATGTATTATATTTTCTTCAGAAAATTGTAATAACAGTACAAAATGTGATGTATTTATAATAAATAATAGTTTAAAGATTTGCTTTTACAACGGTAATATGATTTCCTCCTTTCAAAATAAATTAAATATGTTTTGAATTTACATTCTTAATCAATTTTTTTCAATAGATTTTGATTATTTTAAATGTATTATTATCACAAAACTATTGATTATTTGAATATTCAAAAAAAAAGTGTGTATAAAATATTAAATATTAAATTGGATGACAAAAATTAATATATTTTAGAAAAAAAATAAAATTTTGTCCACTTTGTCCACTGTGGACAAAATTTTTAATTTTGAATGAATATATACAAACAAATTGAATTTAAAATCTAATTTGAAGTTTAATCAAATTATGGAAAATAAAGTTATTTTTATAAGGGTAATTATTTAATTTGGGAATAAATTAGAAAGTAAGAGCAATGAAATATTGTATTGAATTGTAGATACGGATCAGAATGATTCGTAGTTGAATTTTTTGTCTTTGTTTTTTTTTTGGTGAGGCGACGTTTCTATGCGTGTTTCGTAATGGGCATTAAGGCATTAAAGCGGCCTTCGCCCATGGTGCGAGAGTATGATGGTATTATTAAAGTTTTGTAGGTAATTTACGGTCCGGGTATTAAAATACAAAATGCATTATACGCCTGTAATAATAAAGCAACACTCGATGCGTTGGGCATAAAGAACAAATTTATTACTAATTAAAAAATAAATATTAAGACATCTTCGAAATTTATTGAACTTTGTCTTATATATTGGTTTAACGGATTTTTTTTTAAAGAAATTGCTATTATTTCCTTGGATAATCAGAAAAATTATATAGAAATTTGATGTTTTTTGCATAAAAAAAGTAAAAAAAAAATATTAAGAAATTCTTCAGTTTTCTTGTATAAACTAAGTGGAAAAATTTACAAAAACATGTTCTGTTTTCTACTTTAAAGCAAGTGGGATAATATAAAGAACTTGTGACGTTTTCTTATATAATCTAAGTTAAAAAGTATAAAGTAATATTGATGTGCCTTTGCATAAACTTAATCAAAATTTCTATGATTTCTTGTACAAACTAAATGAAAAAAATATAAATACATTTTTATGTTTTCATGTATTTTTATACTAAAACGTTTCATATGTTCTTATATATATTTTGTGGAAAAAAAGTAATTAACTTTTCAATGAGTTCGCGTGATTTTTGAAAGCTGCAGATGTTTCCGATGTTTACTTACTCCTCAGGTGAAAATCGCGTGAAACTCGCATGCAATTTACCTCAAAAAAAGTGTCTAAAAAACTATTTTAACACATTAAGTATTTTTGTAAATTCTTAGAAAATTTACTAACAAAAATATTTAAAAAATAAAGATAAAAATCTAAAATGTTGTATTATCAATGAAAAAAAAGAGATATTAACAGACATTCAAATATTGTTTCAACTCCTTAGGAGAAAATCAAGTAAAAAATAGTAAGAAAATAATGTTTATTTAAGATTATATAATATTATTTATGCGTCAATTGATTTAATTTGATTATTATAATATTAATAACATTATTTATTGAATAAATATGTAAATCCAACTAAATTTATATTATAACAACTAAAAAATAATAATTTATCAATTTTTATTAATTTATGAAGGAAATATTAATTAAATTATATTGTATATTTTTTTAAAATTAATATAGTTCAAAGTATCATTATAAAAGTAGCTAAGGAATATTGCTCAATTATTAAGAAAAATGTTTGAAAAACATTTCCGCTGAATCCATTTTTCATGCGTAATTGACGTTAATAAACTGTTATGTAATTTACAAACAAATTTGTGTGTAATTTACCTCCAAAAATTCGGCGCCGGTGGCGGCGGTCGGCGACGTTGCCTGCACTTGATACGAGTACGTGCAATTCATCCTCCCACTGTGCATCAAGAAAAAATCGAACTGAACGGGGATCGTTGGGGGCGGTAGAACTGCCTCTCACATCACACTCTCCTTGCTTTAATTAACAACTTTTGATTCACTCCTTGTTGCGTTCTTCTATTACAATTATGATTTTGTCGTGAGGTGGTTGGAACAAAACAAAAAACCGCGGGCGAACGCAACGCGCGGTATAATATTGATATCTGTACGGAACGGAGGCCGCTTCGGACTGCGTGGATCCACACACCGTGGGGCCTGCGAGAGCGCGCCCGGATCCGCCCCCGCGGAACGAATTTCGGTCCTTATTGGACGACCACCTGCACACGTACGCACGCCCTCCACGACGTGTCCTTTCTGCGACTTCCCTCGTCCTCATCATCAACGTCATCATCATCATCATCATCAACCTAATCCTCATCCCTAAACCTAATACTCATCATCAACCTGAACCTCTCATCCTCAAGCTAATCCTCAAATCAGCATTTTCCTCTAATTACCGACGCAACGCAATGTGAATCCTCTAATTATCGTTTTATCACGTCCCATTGCATTTAGCGTCGCACGCCCGGATGCGCTCTTGAAAAATGACACCTGATGCTGCCTGCTGTCAGCGCACCGCGCCGGATCCTTTCGATCGTTTGTCCTGTCAACGTCGACGTGATCGAAAGTCTGTCTGTAATGTTGTTGTTCTTTTGGCTGGAGGTTGCTGCGCCTGCAGGAACGGCGACACGGCGATAAATTAGAAGACAAAACATTGTTATTACCGTAGTTAATGTACGTTCGAAACCATCAATTTCTCTAAACTTCTTCCTCGATGCAACAAGCGCAACACTTTAACGTCTTCTACAAATATCGACTTTTCTTTTTAAAATAGACCATCAAATGTTTAACGATTTTAAATTCGAACAACTTGAAACTCGAACAAGAAATGAAGTTCTACCAATATCATACTTTTTTTTATAAAAGTAGATTATCAAACTTTAATTTCTTTGATATAAAAACAAAATTTGTAAGTCGAACAAAAAAATGAAATCTAGTCATAGTTCATTAAAGTATACTAAACTATTATATTATATAAACTTAATACTGGATAAATATTTAGAGATAATGTACAAATATCGATTATTTTTAAACAAATAGACTATTGAAATTTGATCGATTTGATATTGGCACGAAATTTGAAACTCGAACAAGAAAATTGAGATTTACCTTTTTAATTCATATTCAAACGACTTGAAACTGGAACAAGAAATAGATTATATAAAGATATCATTGAAATTTGAGGTTTTTTTTTACAAATATCGACTTTTTTCATTAAAAAGGACGATTTGATATTCGAACAACTTAAAACTCGAACAAGTTGTAATATGATCAACTTGATTTCTAATACAAAATATCGACTTTTATTCTTAAAGACAATCGAACTTTGAAAGATTTTATATTCGAACTAAATTTTAAACTCGAACAAGATATCCAATACTTTTTACAAATAGCGACTTATCTTATTAAGATAAATTATCAAACTTCAATTGGTTTAACGTTCAAACAAAAAAATTCAAGGACCATCAAAAAGGAAAATAACATCATCGTCCTTAAATCACATCCTTCCATGAAATCAAAGAACATAAAAAGTGGAGAAACCTATGTAAAATAAAAAATGAAGAAAATTGTCCTTAAATTGTTTCTTTCTATGAAATCAAATTCCGTCAAAAAAGGATAAACAATAAAAGCTATAAAATTCATAATTGTCTTTCAATCTCATCGTTCCATAAGTTCAAGAACCATAAAATATAAACAAAATTAACATGCTCATCGCTAAACCACGTATTTCCATAAGGTGACAAGTACCACTAAAAAAGGATAAAACCTTAAAAAATAATACACCATAATTGTCCTTAAATCATTGTTTTATCATAGCTATATCCATCAAAAAAGGAAAAATCTTTAATATAAGATAAATTGATAAAGTCCTTAAATCACTATGGGATCAAGGATCATAAAAACAGGAGAAGACAATATAAAATAAAAATCCATAATTATCCTTAAATTTCTTCATTATATGAAAAACTTATAATTGTTTTTAAAGCTTATAGTCCTTAAAAACTATAAAAGAGAGAAATTTTCAACATCATTCGATTCTTTCCATACGATCTCTTTCATTTCAATTTATTTATTCATCTGGTAGGAAGGACCATTAATGGTTTTCACCATTTAATTGTTATCTATAAAGGTCATCGAATTTTAACCGCAACGGTTTTTGATTTACGATTTCCCATTCTGTTCTCGATCGGAATTTAAACGCTCGAGGTTCGTACATACACACAAACATTATTTATTACTTTTGTACACATTACATTTCCAGGATAAATTCATTATTTCTCTCTTTCTCGCACGCTCTTCCTTCCATAGCTTTCGTTCTGTTTTTATCCTCGTCCTTTTTTAATCCATTTGTTTATTTTATTTTCCTTCGTGCCCCCCTTTTGTTACTATTATACGTTTCGCTGAAATCCATTTATAATTATAGCTCATTCCGAAGCTCAGCTACTAAATCACCTCCGCAAATCGGCGAAATATAAATTCATACGTGTTGTTTTTTCTTTTCTATTTTATTTTTTCATTTAATGCAACCATCAGCAGTACAGCACAAATATGGTAACGGTTTAATTTCATTCTGGAGTTAAATTATTGCATCATTTTCATGTTTTATTGGAAATACTATAAAATTTTAATGAAAATCTACAAGAAAATTATCAATATCACATTCAGTCATGATTTCATCTTTTTAATTTGTTTTGTTTTAAAGGTCCTCAATTTTATTAAATTTATTTCATAGAACAATGTGACTTAAGGAGAATCATGGTCATTTCATTTTTCATAGACTTTTCCTCTTTTTGATGGACAATGTTTAAGATCAATTGAAATGTAGATTAAATAAAGATTTCTTCGTTCTTAATTGTATTTTCCTTTTCAAATCATATCTGATAGAATGATAAAATTTAAGGACAATCATGGTCCTTTCAATGTTTGATTTCAATGTTTTCTCTTTTCGATAGTTAAGGACTTTTGTAGAAGAATATGGTTTAAGGACTATGATGTTCTTCCCTTTTAGACAGTTCTTGATCTCATAAAACAATGTTCCAGACAAACATGACCAGGTTTACAAAATAAATTTAAACGAAGAGATAAAAGTATTGAGTATTTAAGATTTCTTGCTTTTGATTGAAATGATGTTAATTATAAGGATAATTAAAATCTTTTAATTTTTAAGAATTTTCTCCTTTGCTAATATTTCTTGATGCGACAATGGTGATCCTTTCCTTTTTAATGATCTTGTCCTATTTTTATAGTCTACAATCTTATAGAACATGATGCCATCAACAGATGTATAAATAATTTGAAGTGAAGAGATGAAAGGATCAAATAATGTTGTTAAGTCTTCTCCTTTTTTTTATAATGATCCTTGATCTCATTGAGAACGAGATGCAAGAGAAGATGCGACCGGAAAAGGAATCTCGATTTCGCACCGTTCACATAAACCATTTCCATGCGTTTTATTGTACAATATATATATAATATAACCCTATGATGAAAATAGTATCCCATGGATTACGGATTCGGTATTCGCTACAAAAGGGAACGCTGGAAGAATGGAAGGAAGAGAATGGGTGGTTCAATGGGTGCACTAAATGATGGGAGTGGGAGTGTCGCTATGGAAATTTGATCCTGGAACGGAACTGGGAGGATCTCAGCACGTGTGTCGCAGCGATTATAATGCACCTGGACTCAGGATATAAGGATTATAGTCTGCAATGGTTTACTCAAATGCAATCAGAACAACTAAAAAATTGTGCAATTCTTAAGGACGATTCCTCGTTGTTTGAGTACTATTCAATCAACAAATTCAATAAAAAATAATACTAAATGTACCCTTTACGTAATGCTTAAGTATTTTTCTTATTTGTCAATGAATAATTCAGCAAGATTCAGCAATTTCTCAGCTATTAAGTTTCAAATACAATCAAAAGATCAATTCAAAATTTTAAGAGAATTACTTGAATGCTATAATGATTTTTTCAAATCTCATCCTTTCTTCAATTATAAAGGATAATCCTTCTAATTTCTTAAAAATTCTTATCCAAATATATTCATCAAAAACGTCCACCAATGAACATTCAACGAGTATTATCTACAATCAGGACTAAAAAAATATTAATTACACATAACTTGAGAACGAGTTTTTTTTTTAATTTTTCAACAATGATTATCTAAAAACAATTAAGTTGTATTAAAAACCACAAAATAACAAATGTTAAAGAGAATATTTCACATTCCTCACCTAATATATTAATGAGGGAAAAAAACGTCCATTACGCAATTCTTAAAGACGATTCTTCTAATTTTTCGACAATTCTACCTCAAATATTCTTTACAGGAATAGAAAAACGTGTATTAAGGACGATTCTTCTCAATTTTTCAAAGATTAATACCTCATTAGGTAATTTTTAAGGACGATTCTTCTAATTCTTTATTGATTTTAATCAAAGATAATCAAAGACTAATAAACGATTTTTTTTAATTCTTCAACAATCATTACCTAAAAACAATGACGTTTATTAGAAAACTATACATTAGGAAGTGTTAAGGATGACTTTTCTATTTCTTCATTGATTTTAACTCAAATACAATCTGGAAGAATAAAAATGATCTTTATTTTTTGTTTAACGACAATTCTTCAAAGTCTTCACCCAAATGAAAACAGAGAAACTTCTATTACATAATTTGATTCCTCTAATTCTTCATCAATTCATATTCTTCACCAATCACAAAAAGATGAACAAAAAACGTACATTGCTCAATTAAGCACGATTTTGCTAATTTTTCGATACTTTTTACCAAAAAAACGTCCATCACAATTTTTTTTAAGGACGATTCTTTTAATTCCTCATCAATCTTTAAGCAATTACAAACAATGAATGAAAAAACGTCCATTACACAATCTCATGGATTTTAACCCAATTACATCAATATGAATAAAAACATACATTATGAAATGTTTAAGGATAATTCTTCTAATTTTTAATCGATTATTATCCAAAACCAAACAGGATGACTATAAATATCAATAACACATTTTAAGGATGATTTGTCAAAATACAGTCAAGAATAAAGAAGAAAGTTCATTACTCAATGATTCTTCTAATTTTTCATCCATTTTT